TTCAGCAGGGCGAGCGGAGGCTCCATCATAATCCTCACGTTCTCGAGCCCGTCGCTCTCACGCGAAGCTAGGTGGCAAATGGCAAATGTGTACACAGGAAGCGACCACGAAGCCATACTGTGCACCATCGGAGAGCGCCTCAGACCTAGCAGAACATACTGCAGGAGCAAGGCCTACATCGAGGACACGCTCGACACGAGAGCGATCGCCAGGTGCCTGGAGTCGTGGCATGCCACACTCGATGCAAGCACCAACGAGGCAGCCAACCTTCTCGCCACGAGAATGGAGGAGGCCTGCGACTCGAGCATGAGGCAGCGTAAGCCGTTCACGAGGCACCACGAGCCGATTGCATGGTGGACCCCGGAAATCGCACGACTCCGGACAATGTGCATGAAGGCCAGGCGAGCAATGCAGAGAGCGAGACGTACGGCCCGACTCGACTCGGCACTGGAAGAGTACGGGTCCGCCAGGAAAGTCCTGAAAAAGGCGATACGAAGCAGCAAACGCGAATGTTTCCTCAAGCTCTACGACTCGGCGGATAAAGACCCCTGGGGCAGGGCCTACAAGCTCGTGGCGAAGAAGCTCTGTGCAGGGAGCAAGGTGCCAACTGAACCCGACGCGCTCGAGGCCATAGTGCACGCATTATTCCCAAGCGCGCAGCATACGGGGCTAAGACCGAGGATACGCCCTGGTCCGTTCACGGGCATAGTGAAGGTCACGGAAGAAGAGGTGCTGGAAGCCGGGAGGAGCCTACACAGGAAAAAAGACCCTGGCCCCGACGCAATCCCAAACCGAGCGCTGAAAGTGGCACTAGCACTACAGCCATCTGCCTTCGTGGAGGTCTTCAACAAGTGCCTCGAAGAAGGTAACTTCCCAGCCAGGTGGAAGAGGCAGAAACTGCTGCTGCTAAACAAACCAGGTAAGCCACCAGGAGTGCCTTCGTCATACCGACCAATCTGCCTACTGGACAGCGTCGGTAAGGTGTGCGAAAGACTTATAGCACGCAGGCTTAATCGAGCCATTGAAGAATCGGGAGGCCTATCGGCAAACCAGTACGGCTTCCGCAAAGGCAGGTCGACGCTGGACGCCATCGACAAGATTGTGACCATAGCGGAAAGAGCCATCAGCGGCATACGATGGAAAGGAGGCAGTAAGCAGTATTGCTTGCTGGTCACCCTGGACATCAAGCATGCGTTTAACACGGCAAGCTGGGCAAGAACGTTGGAGGCGCTACGGACGGTAGGCATACCGGACTACCTCCTCTGCGTGATAGACAGCTACCTCAGCCACCGGGTGTTGTCGTACGAGACGAGCAAGGGAACTAAGAGGTACGAAGTCTCAGCTGGAGTGCCCCAGGGATCAGTGCTAGGGCCGCTCCTGTGGAACACGATGTACGATGGAGTCCTCCGACTGAACCTACCAGAAAGCACTACGATAGTAGGGTTTGCCGACGATGCGGCCATCGCAGTAGTGGCCAAGGACCTCGTAGCAACGGAAGCAGCGGCCAACGAGGCTATTCGAGCCGTGGAGACGTGGCTCGACTTAGCGGGACTGCAGCTGGCAGCGCACAAGACGGAGGCCGTCTTGTTCAGCAGCAGGAAGAAGGTGGAGTCGGCCAAAGTGATGGTAGGTGGCCACCAAATCACATCACAAAGGGCCCTAAAGTATTTAGGGGTGATGCTGGACACCAGGCTCTCCTTCAGGGAGCACATGGAGTACGCCAATGCAAAGGCAGCGCAGACATGCCGAGCCCTATCGCGCATTCTGCTCAATACCAGGGGACCCAAACAGGAGAGGAGGAGGCTCATCACGAGCGTCATCTCATCCCAGCTGCTATACGCTGCACCGGCGTGGCTTAAGGCGACGAACGTCTCCAGCTACATGCGAGGTGCCGAGGCAACGCATCGAATCTGCGCCATCAGGATTGCCTACGCGTTTAAAACGGTCTCCGACGACGCAGCCCTTGTCATTGCGGGACTGATCCCGATTGTGGAGCAGGCAAGGGAAAGAGCAGCGGCGCATGAGCTGACCCTAGCAGGACAGGTCGATACGAGAGAGGCGAGGGAAGCACGAAGGCAGGAGAGCATCCGCAGATGGCAGGCAAAGTGGGACTCCTCAACGAAAGGTCGCTGGACCCGTAAATGGATTCCCGACCTTAAGGCGTGGATAGATCGGAAGCACGGACAGGTTGACTTCCACCTGACCCAAATCCTCAGCGGTCACGGCTGCTTCCGGTCATACCTGAAGCGCTTTGGGCATGAAACCGAAGACTGGTGCCCAGCTTGCGGCCGAGGCATAGAGGAGGACGCCCACCACGTCTTTTTCGAGTACACCATCGCCCCTTCTTCCTACAATCGCCACAGTCTACATAGTTGTATAGTTTAGATAAATAGTTAAGTAAGTTATTAAATAAAACCTGAATACAAAAAAAAAAACACCCAAGACACTGCACAGTCCCTCAGTCACACACCCAAGACACTGCACTACGCAGTCCACCAGCGCACCATACAACTACAAGCCAGAGTAGCAACGTAAAGGAATTAAAGTAAATGAATAAATACTGAATAAACCAAGAACAACCCAAACAAAAACTCTCGCATCATCATTTCTCGCCTGCCTACTACATTTTTCAAGCCAGCCCGACACCTGAAGCCACCTACAATCTACAAATTTTCTTATAGCGGACCCTGGACAGGCTGATGCATACCTCAGCCTGAAATAGGACCTCACAAGTGTCATCGACCACATATATATACAACAACCGCTCTTGCATATGGGCAGTTCCGCCAAAAGGTCCACCAGGCCAAAAATCATAAAAAGTCAATAAAAACCGATTTCCATATAATTTTTTCCGGATATTTATACCCGTACTCAAAAAAGAGTTAAGGGGTATATTAGATTTGTGGTAAAAGTGGATGTGTGCAACGCAGAGAAGGAAACGTTTCCGACCCCATAAAGTATATATATTCTTGATCAGCATCAATAGCCAAGTCTATATAGCCATGTCCGTCTGTCCGTCCGTCTGTCCGTCTGTCCGTCCGTCCGTCTTGATGAGCGCCTGGATCTCAGAGACTATAAGAGCTAGAGAAACCAAATTTGGTTTCCAGACTCATGTGATATCACACTGCTACAAGTGTATTTCAAAATTTCGCCCCGCCCCCTTCCGCCCACACAAAGGACGAAAATCTGTAGCAGGCACAGTTTTAAAGATACGATAAAACTAAAAGCGCAGTATCGTAGAAAATGCCCATATCTACCAGATTGCCGAATCTGAATTAGATCGGATCATAATTATAGCCAGAATGAAGAAATTCATTTTCAGTTGCTTCCCCTCCCCCTCCCGTTCCAGACAACGCAACTCATTTTCCTTCTCGCTCGCACACTCTGCCGCGTTCAGTGCGCGAGCAACCCCTAGCGGAGGAGATGTAGAATCTAAATGGTACATGTACAATCTACATGTTAGATGTAGAATAGACATTGTAGATGAGATGTAGATAACAAATGTAGCAAAAAAATGTAAAATTTAAAATTTTTTTTAAATTCTAAAATTCTAAAAAATCATGCTCAAAAATGTATATACTGACTGAGTACGGGTATAAGTAGAGTCGCGTCCCCAGAAGCGACTCACACGTTCCTTCTCGTTTTTTCTAAATTTATTGAAAGGTAACTTATTTACTTAATTGACATATAATTTCATTAACTTTCATCCTAAAACCTATGAAAATAAGCAAAAGTTCACGTTTTTGGTATTTTCTGGTATTTTTATAGACATGTTTTCTTTTACTATTATCTTCTAGGAAGAAGATGATTCTTGATAAAAGTTTCTCCTTAAAGTCTTTCTAATATATTAAACTACCCAAAATAATTATCAGAGTGTTTGTCCATCCTCTGCTAACAATATATTTTTAGGCTTTTATAATCGCGGAATTTGGTAACGTCACGCCAGTAACGTTCGCCAGATGCCTCCGCGGATTTTTAACAAAAAAAGGGGAAAAGTTTTTACATTTAATAAGTTTGAAAATTAACTCTCAATACTTCATTTATTAGCACAAAAAATGTTATACAGATAGCCCTATCCAATTCGCAGAGTTTTGCCATTTTGTAAGCCGTCCTCGAAAACCACTTCTGTTTTATGTAACGCACTTTTAGGTCATACTTTGGCTTATATCTTCAAACCGTACGCTCGATTATTGCCATTTTTCTGGTGAATATAGGTCTAACCAAATTATATTCAATGAGGATAACCTTTTTCCCAAATTTCAGCTTTTTGACTATTTTTTTTCAACATTTTGTCGTACGAATGTACGTAACGCCAGATAGGAACTGCCCATATAGGCATTGACGTTTTGTTTGCGGTGCTCGTTCCGTACTCTTTGTTTTTCATCTAGCCGCTAGAAACGTTTATCTAACGCCGTCGCTGCTATGGAGTTGGATGGTTCAAACGGCAGTGAAACTACCGCTGCGGAAAACAGGGTGATTTTTCTGAAGCGGAAGGCATCGGAATCGTGCGATACATTTCAAAAGATTGAGTGCCACTTGGGAGAATGAATTGTCGGTTTGCAATTACTATATGCTCGTGGTAAGGTTGGAGGAGAACTAGGAGCTGCAGGGCATGTTCAAAACCATGCAGAACGAGCTCAAAGAATTGGATTGTCAAGAATTTAGTAGTGGATTGCGCGACAAGTTTCAAACACTTTTCCGAACGTTGAAGCCGTCAATTTGTCGTGAAATTGCCAGGACTAGCGATCACATGCCTTCTCATTCCACTTTGGCTGTGGAAGCGGAGGGTATGCAAACTGGTCAGATTTGTATTCTATGTTTTTACCATTATTCACAATCATCCGGACCTATCCAACATTGAAAAGTTCCAGCATCTGCGATCTTGCTTACGTGATTCGGTGTAGGAGACAATTCGATCGTTAGAACTCGCGGATGGCAACTATAACATGGCATTAGAGTTATTGGAAAAGAGATTTAATAATCGACGGTTTGTCTTTCAGGCACACATTACTGAGCTCCTGGGGCTCCAGGCTGTGGAAAATGGGTCAGTGGCTATGCTTCAGAAGATTTCGGACAAGTTCAACTCTCATATGCGGGAGTTGTAGACTTTGGGTACTTCTGAGCAGATCGCAGGATGCATCATCGTGCAGGTGCTTCTACGGAAACTGGATCCAGCGAGTTAAGCAAGGTGGGAGGTAAGTTTAGAAGATACGGCATTTGTCAATTTCATTCCTTTGTGGGAATCTATGGCTTCGTTCTTCCGTGGATTTCTCTATGGCAACATATGCGCTGAGCAGTCAGGTGGACAGGAGTAAAAAACCTAACATTTCAAGATCCACATTTATCGGCACTAATCAAACTTTATCCCGATGCATGCTATGCAATGACCATGCCCACGAAATCCATTACTGTCCCAATTTTAAAGCCTTGTCCCCCGTAAGTCGGTTTAAGGAAGCCAAGAGGCTATCCCTCTGTATAAACTGTTTTAAAACAGGGCATCGAATGACACAATGCATCTCGAGCGACTCTCGTACCTGTGCACAGGTACCTCCACAGCTGTGGGGGTAAGCATCATACTCTCCTGCATTTTAGTAACCCTGAAACTACTGCAGTCCAAGGGCAATCAAAGTCACCCAATACTCCGTCGTCTACGCCGTCATATCCTATCGCTGAACTCTCTACTTTACCGTCTTCGTCTACATCGTCTCAGCATGGCACTAAACCCTCAACTGCAGCTTCTTCATCTACTATTCTTATTGTCCAGGATCTCAGCAATGATGTGTGAGGAACATGGTTCCACACAGGGCTGCGAAGGTTAAGGTCGGGAAGGGTTTATCCGAGGATATCCGGCTGTGGCGAAATCACCCGGGGGGCTCTCGGAGAGCGGCAGAGAGTGGGCCGTAGGTAGAGGGAGCGAGTCTCGTGAGAGATGTGGGAAGCCAGGATCGGGCCGGCAGCGCTTGGACGCATATCCTAATAAGGTCATGAACTCACGCCACCGCGATGATCCCGTTAAGAAGATCGTGGAAGCCACAGAATCGCCGATGGAAATTTACTGGCCGCGTGGGAGTACCGTTGGCGTAGGCCTATATAAGGCGGCCGGTGGCGGTGGCGCGGGTTTTCTATGCGCGCGAGTTACCACCTCAGCACCTACCCTCACCCTCGCCCCGCCGAAACCACTTCGGCTAGTATAGCAGGCCCTAACGTCAACAACGTCGACTCTGCAACAAAGTTGCATCGGCTCAACTTAAACAAATATCAGACCTCAGCAACGAAACATCCGTTCCGATTGAGGAATGGAGAGTAAGCAGATTCTCTGCCGGCCAAAAGAGCAAGGCCAGCAAATTGTAATTAAGTTGAAAACCTAAAAACGAAATATAGAATCGGAATACATTTGAAACTCAACCACTCCGGGTGTACTTTATTCCGCAAACCACCTCATACGACAAATCTCCCAAGGAATCTTAACCGATTCACCAAAGATCATAACTGGCGCAGTCGGACACTCTCGTTAAAGGACGGAAATCTGGAGGAAGTAGGACCCTAGAGGACCAAGACAGCGAGAGAGAACCACGCAAGAGATGTATTGGAAAATAGCGACACTAACAATCCTGTAAGGAAAGATATCCGAAGATATGTACGTGTGAGTAGAGTGACGTGAAATGGAGGAGAAAAACAAAAAAATAAAGAAATAAAATGTAATAAATCCTCAAATTGTGAGAACGAAAAGTACGGGAATACAATGGTGAGCAGTGAAATGGGCAATCATTAAAAGAGAGATAATATGGCGCGTTGGCCAGGGCAGTGGAGATTCGAGTTATTCGGACCAAAACGAGCATAATTATTGCAAATAAATTGTCAGAAGGGAGCGAGGAGAAAAGAGTGCAAAAGTGTCGTGGAAAAATGTCGAACGGTGGACGGCGGCTCGAGCGGGAGCGGTTCGATCGTGCGCGGTTCGAGCGGCGGTGGTTCAATCGTTGCGGTTCGATCGGCTGCGGTTCGACCGGGTGCGGTTAGAGCGGATGCGGTTCGACTGGGAGTCGGGCAGTTGCTGTCGGATCGACGTCAGGCCGAGGGTCCGATACGATCATAGAGTCGAACGTACGAGTAATTGTGCCGACGATCGGGCCGTTGGCGGGGACTACAGCGGCGACGGTTTGGTACGACGGAGGCAACGCTAACACTCCGTCGGGTCGAGTCGAGCATCGAACGGTCGAAGAGGAGAAACCACACACACACACACACACAATATAAAGACAGGGCCGGCATGAAAAGATAAAGGGCACAAAAGACAAAGAATAAATCACCAAAAATTGTGATGGGCAACACTCCGCGAAGGAGGCGATAAAAATTAAAAGATACGCAATCCAAGTCACTCACATGCGTAGGGCAAAGTACTGTAACGCACAGTGCGGACGCCTAGCATAGGGGTGACAGGGAGACGGAACAGAGAAACGCTACCAGGGAGACACGACTGTCCGCAATTGGTTACAGATACTGTAACGCACAGTATTGTGACTAGCTTCAGCGTGTAAGGTAAAGCCACAAAGTAAATAAAAAGACGCATATAAGGCGATCGAATAACTATAAACGAAGAATAAACCACTTCACGGCACACCATATTATTAGAAAAGTACGATCGGAAAAATACTCATTTTAATCAATTTCAGACTCCATTTCACGAACACAAGGACACACAAGGACAAACTCGATCTAGTATAAACACTTAAGTAACACACACTATAGAATACACAAGCACACATTATAATTAAGATACGATACACAACTTGTACAAATCACCATACACACAAACACTATAAAATACGTAAAATAAGAAAAAGAAAATAATGGAAATAGACTATATGTCAAAGGAAAGCAGTAGCCAAAGGGTTATTCCGGTAGACACGGAGGCTTCAGGAGCTAGTGACGAGAACCAGGGACAATTAGAAATGACCCAACCCAGCAACACAAAATTGCTCGAAGCGGTTCGAGTCATAGAGTTAGTGGAGATTATACCAAAGTATGAAGGAAGTGTAGAGAAGTTAGATGGGTTTATATCAGCGGTAGAACAGACAGGCCTTATAAAAGGAGAGGAAAGGTCATCGATAGGGGTTATAGCCCTTAGGGCTATAAGAAGCAAGGTAATAGGAGCGGCAGATAGGGCATTGGAGTTGAATGAGGTAGATTTGAATTGGGATAACATTAAGAAGGCATTGGTGACTCATTTTAGAGATAAAAGATCCGAGCAGGATTTAATCATGGAGCTTACACACATAAAGGAGAAAAAGTTGGATTTAGAGCCACTATATCAAAAGGTGTTGGAGTTAAGAAAGGCCCTTGTCAGCTTGGGTAAGGTGAAAGAACCGAACTCGTTGCTAAGGAAGGAAAGAACCAAGTGGTACGAAGACATAGCACTAAACGCCTTCCTTTCGGCAATAAAACAATTAGGAATATCCATGTAGTAACATTTCAAAGGCATACGAGGTAGCCTGTAGAGAGAAGAATGTCTATACTCTAGATGAGCCGGAACAGGAGGTAAAAAAGCACCCGATGACAGAGAACCAGACTAAGGAAACTAAAGAACCTTTGGCGCAAGAGCACGACAGGAAAGAAACTCAGACGCCAGGGGCGCACCGGGAAACGCCAAGCTGGCCACAGTACCAATGGGGAGGGAACGGACAATCATCGTTCGGTATGCCGTTCCCAATGACTGATGGGAGCGGATGGCTAGGTTTTGGGTTCGTCTACCCAATGGGAGGAAACCCCTTCAGGGGAGCTCCCTTTATGCAGAACGAACAAGCAGGGTACACTAGGGGCCCATATCGGAACCAGCAGAATAGGAACCCTAGATGGGGCTATGACCAACAGAACAATGGGAGGCGTTGGGGCCAGAACAATCGCCAAGAGCAACTAGCGATCCAGGCACCACAGGACGCAGGCAGAAGTGGACAATCGAGGATGTCTAGAATGACAAATAACACAGGGCAGTCATATAACTCCAATAATTCCAGACAGTCGTATGCAGCACAGCAGACGCCTAGTACCTCAACTAGAGTTAGCGGACAAGCAGCTGCAGTTGGTCAGCTACACAATATTCAGGAAGAGGACGGAAATTTTCTCCAGACAGCCTCGAACAAAGCACAGGGTACTTAGGAGGAAAGAAGAATCAGTCGACCCTGCCCTATATAGTGGTTAGGCTAGCGGCAGACAAAAATATTAAAATGCTTATAGACACAGGATCCACATTTTCATTCATAAGACCGGAATTAATACCCACAGAACACATTAGAAGATTAAAATAATCAATACAAATAAAAACAATCGTACGATCCCACGAAGTACATAAGGAAACAGTCTTAGCCATGTTCAGAGAGTTGGGAGGAGTAGGAAAGATGAGATTGCTCCTCTTTAAGTTTCATCAGTTTTTCGATGGACTGGTAGGAATAGACATATTGCAACAAATAGGAGCAGTAATCGATGTAGACAAACGACAACTGCGTACATCGACGACAGAAACACAGATATGGCAGACGCAATACAGAGCAACGGAGGTATATACGGTAGAAGCGGGCACAAAAAGGGTTATACAGGTGCCGGTACAGTTACAGGATGGGGAGTTCATAATTAACAAAACGAAGGTAAAACCTAATATGGAAATATCAGAAGGCCTGTATAAGGCAACAGCAGGACAGAGTCTGGTAGAGATAACCAACTATTCGGAAGAGGACCAGGAATTGTTTCTAGAGGAACCACTAGTGGTTTCGGAATTCAAAGCCGAAGAGCATATAGAAATAAATAACATAGAAAGCAGAAAAGATATAGGGAAGAAAGGAATTCCGTTTCATAAGATAAGAACAGATCATTTAAATGAGGAAGAAATCACTGAATTAAAAAGACTATGTAAAAAATACCCATCGTCATTTTATATGGAGGGAGAAGACTTGTCGTTCACAAACGTTGTCAAACATCAGTGTGTACTCAAGGCCATATAGATACGCATTCACGGAAAGACACGAGGTGAAAAGACAAATAGAAAACTTGCTGGAACAAAAGATCATTAGACACAGTCACTCCCCATGGAGTGCCCCAGTGTGGCTGGTGGCCAAAAAGAAGGACGCGTCAGGGCAGAGAAAATGGAGAATGGTAGTCGATTATAGGAAACTGAATGAAAAACTGATTAAGGACAGG